TCCCTTCACCTATAAAAGCTCTTACCCACTGATTGTCAGTGGGGGGAAGTCGGCCTTTGGACAGGAGTCCGCCCTCTGCCCGGTTGCCGGCATCCAAAATAAAGCAAACCAACCTTGCCTCTTTATTGGCTTTTGAGGGGAGAGTAGCCAGACCCCATTTTCAGTTACAGTAGGATGTGTGGACAGAGAGGCACTGGCTTAGTGAGGGTGTGGTTGGCAGCACTTCATGTCAGAGCTTGAAGATGTTTGTGAAGACCTTGACTTTTTATTGGAGTGAGGTGGGAAGTCAATGGAAGGTTCTAAGCCACACTCACTCTGGCTGCTGTGTAGGGAGACAGCAGCGAGGTCAAGGTGATCATAGGGAGGTCAATCAGAAGTCTACTGAAGTATTTAACTGAGAGATTAAGAGTGGCTCAGGGCTTCCCTGGTGGCGCAGTGGTTGAGCGTCTGCCTGCCGATGCAGGAGACACGGGTTCGTGCCCCGGTCACATGCCGCGGAGCAGCTGGGCCCGTGAGCCACGGCTGCTGAGCCTGCGCGTCTGGAGTCTATGCTCCGCAACGAGAGAGACCACAACTGTGAGAGGCCCGCGTACCGCAAAAAAACAAGAGTAGCTCAGAGCAGTGTGTTAGCAGGGCTGCTGGTGGCGAGTGGCCAGGTTTTTGTATGTGGGGCTTGCTGATGGATTGGATGTGGGGTGAGAGAAGAGAGGTGTCGGGGTGACTCCAAGGTTTTGGGCTTGGGTGAAAGGAAGGCTACAGTTATAACCTGAGAGGGGAAGGAGCTGGACTGGAGACAATTTATATGTTCCTCCATTAGGTACAAAATCTCACCTGAGTGCACTCAGGCATAATGAAGTTCTGGAGGTAAATGAAGACGTTAAGAATCAACTTTGGGAAGGCTATGCAATAAGGATGGTGTTGAGGTAAACGGGTTACATCTCCTTTTATATACATTAAGTGACTAGTGTAGAAAACACTTTACAGCCAAATCTGATAACCCTTAAATTCTTTAATTTCTTTCTAATCAGGGATGGACAGAGATATGAGAAAACATGGATAAGGAGCTATGCAGGCAAAATTCAGTCACGGGTACCAGAGACCTTCATTATGAATTAGGGCAATAAAACTTTTATTTTTGCAAAATTATTGTTTTCCATAATGGCTACTTTTGTAGTTATTATTGTGATTGACTGTTATATACAATGAATATTTGGTTCTAAGAAACAAACGAAAAACCTGCTGATGGAAAGAATGTGTACATGCTTGTTGAGCTGTTTAATAAATATTTGATGATGATTCTGCAGTATGTTTTTTTTGTGTGTGTGTGGTATGCGGGCCTCTCACTGCTGTGGCCTCTCCCGTTGCGGAGCACAGGCTCGGGACGCGCAGGCTCAGCGGCCATGGCTCACGGGTCCAGCCGCTCCACGGCATGTGGGATCTTCCCGGACCGCGGCACGAGCCCGTGTCCCCTGCATCGGCAAGCGGACTCTCAACCACTGCACCACCAGGGAAGCCCTGCAGTATGTTTAAAGGGTAATTCTTCTTCTTTGGACAGTTCATCTGGCATTCTAAAAATGGATGTAATTTCAAGGGGTAACCAAAATGTGTCAATTAGCCTGACATCTAGGTCTTTTTAACAGATCTTTAAATTTCCAATTTCCTTTGCCATCTTAACCAGGGTAAATCATCCTGAACAAGATCATTCTTTTGAACAACAGCCTCCTTATTAACTGAGATCAATTGAGATTAGAAAATGAAAAATACACTAGATGCTGAGAACTCTTTATGAAACCACATTTGTAAGATGAGTATTGAAAGAAGATTAATGTGTTATTTTCAGCTTCTATATCATTGATTTATTCTCTATATCCCACTGCTGGATTAAACACTAATATATATTTGGATGGTGTGCTTCTTTGCAAGTATTATCTGTTCCCTATTGAGATTATATGTTAGTGGAAGGGAATGATTTTTAATTCAAAGGTAGCTTGCTTTGCACACCACATGTGTTTTTGAAAGTGTGACACATCAAATTGAGTAAAACAGATTTTCCACTGAATTATAAATTAATGATTAACTCCTTTGTTCTAATTTCCTATTGATTTTCATTTGCTCTACAAGATCCTTAGCACATCGTGTGGCCCCTATGTGATCTGGACTCAGCCTGCTTTTAAAGACACCCTCACAGCACTCTACTCTTCTGTCTCCAGATACCCTGGTCTTCTTTCAAACCCTAATACTTCAGACTTGAGATTTTTGCACACACTGTCTAAAATGTTCATTCTCTAACACTATCTGCTTTATTTTTTCCATATAGTACATTACTTTCTTAATTATTTGTCTGTCATTCCCTAACTAGAAAGTAGCCTCCAAAAAATGCATGGATTTTAGTTTCTCTTTCCTCACTGCTGAATCTCTAGCATCTAGAACTGTGCTGGGCATATAGTATGCATTCAGAAAAAAATCATAATGAATGAATAAATGAATGAATGAATGATTACTTACCCTGGAATACCAATTTCCCTTCTCTATATCTAGGAACCCTCTATTCATCATTCAAATTCCAGCTTAAATGTCATTTTTTCAAGCCACCATTTTTGACCCCTAGGGCAAGATCAGCTTTCTCTACTACTTGTTCTTACATGTCTCTGTATGTCTAAGTTCTCCATAGCACTTATTAGAACTTTAACTTATAAAGTCCATTATTTGTGAGATAATTTGCTTAGCTCCCGTCTTCTCTCCTAAACTGTAAAATGTCCTTATCTTGTTTTTAATCACCTCCCCGACATCTAGCAAAATGCCTGGAACAGAGAGATGCTCCATAAATAGCTGTTGGATGAAAACGTGGATAGATGGATGGTCAAGCAACTCCTCATTATAAATTTCAGCCCCTTTGTTCCACTTGTTCAATGTTCTCTCAACAAAAAAATAGTGGTTAGTGAACCAGAGGGAATGTTTTTCTATACTGGACAGGTTCTTATTTAAACATACTCCTCCATGAATTCAGTAATGCTTGTAGGATCCCTTAAAGCTGATGCCTCATACCAGCCTCTTTACCCGCCATGTTATTTAATGAAATAAATACTTTATGAGTTTCTCCTCTGGACCAAACTACACAGGAGGGAAAGGTCATGTAAACAGTAGAGAGACCAGAAGCTTTAAAACAGAAAGATCTCTTATACTTTGACTGCCTGTGTGAGCTTGGCTAAGTTACCAGTTGAGCCGTGGGTTCTTCATCTGTCAAAGAGAAACAGCAATACCTATCTTGTGTGGTTGATATAGGGATTATTAATAATGCATGTAGTGTGCTTGCCATATAATAGGTGCTCAAAATATGGCACCTGTTACTACTATCACGATAAGGTAAGCTCCTAGAGGGCAGACTACACTTGCATTCCCAGAACCTTTTGTATAGAATACTCTCAGTAAAGGTTGGTTAAACTGACCAGCAGAATATGTGTTACTTCTCCACTCTCAATGGGTTTTAAATCTAAGCATGAAAATAAGTTCCAAAACAGATTCATGAAATATTTAGATAATAACAAAATATAATCCTTATTATAGTGTACTATATACAAGATTAGAGCAAAATATATGTTACAGGCCAGAAGTGCTTTGGATGGCCAGGCAGGAAATGGTAAGAGGTGGCTGGCTGTAGTTACTGGCAAATGATAAGTTCCCATGTCTGTGTGTGTAAGATATAGACCAGTAAGCCTCCTATAAAAATATTCAATTTCTTTGTCACTAGCTCTACCAATGTTGGATAAAATGGTAGAAAGCATCAACCTGATGCTTCTGGGTTAATATGATGGCAGACAAAATTGGGTCATTGATCTTGAGTAGCAAGCTGTATCTGTCATAGTAATGGATGCTTTTTCCCCCTTTAACAATCAGTGCTTAGTTAGCTAATGATCACAAATAGGTTCTGATGACGGTGAGTAATGCTGCTCAAATAGGGCTGTATTATGTGGAGTACATCTTAGCCTTGGAAAACTAGAACATAGACTCAATCCCATATTCCACTTCTTTGCAGCATACTCTGTACAGGTTTTCAGTTGAATTGCATCATCCATAATCATTACTTATTGTGGTCCTTTTATCTTAACCAAACTCTTTGGTTGCAGCTCTACTAGATGGGGCTGAGATAGTGAGAATGAACAAAATAATGCTGCTTTTTTCTAAGACGTTGTCTCCTTTTTGTTATTTAGGTGTCTCTGTAAATGTATTTGACATAGATTCAAACACAGGCACCCCATTAAAGGCTTTGGTACACTAGCAATCATACTGAAAGCTTCAGATGCCTAGTTACAGAACTGAATGCAGCCATCAACACACTCAGAAGTCCTCACATTAGGGAAAGAGATGACCACCGTCTTTCGTCACCTCAAGCCATGTAAGGATGATCTAGAATCCACCCATGCCAACTGGCAGCCAGGCACACATCAACCTGCCCAGATTCTACACCTGCGGCAACAAGCCCAGTCAGACCAGCTGTCCTGAGAATGAGCTACTTGCCCACACACCTGCATCACAGTGGCAGACAAACGTCCTGCAAGCCGCTGCCCGCCACACTCCTACACACACTATGCACACCTAGATGAACACGCCTGAATATTCTTATTCACAAGGACAGAGACCCGACACTGTGCTCACACACGATTACAAACAAAAACACACGTGGAATTATGCATCTTTTTCATCCAGGGCAGCAAAGCGCACTTATTATACACAGGCTTTCATGCCCCGCCCAAGACCTTTGGAACAGTGGTTTGCTTTTCTCTGAGCCATGCACAAACTAGTCCTTCACCCCCGGGTGCGTGCCCAGCGTAGATAAAACAGCAACTCGGCTGCAGTCCCGTCGCTCTTTTCAGCTCTTTTCAACTCTTTTCTCCGCCTGAACTCCCGGGGGGCCGGGTGGCGCCGGTCGTCCACGTCCGACTCCGGTGCCCTCCCCGCCCCTGCCGCGCCACGGGGCGGGGCCCAGCCGGCGGCCAGGAAATGCCCAGAAGAGGGTGTCACCTGGGCAAGCCCGACGACGTGTTGATTCCCAGGATCGCCGCCTTCCCGGGTCTGGGCCTCCGAGACCCGAGCTCGATCGCGCTCACCTGTTACCCAGGCGCGGCCCCGGGGAGCCCTGGGACGCTCCCGGGACCGACCTCACCCTTCAACTCCACAGCCATGAGCAAGTTGGGCAAGTTCTTTAAAGGGGGAGGCTCTTCCAAGAGCCGAGCTGCTCCCAGCTCCCAGGAAGCCCTGGCTCGACTTCGGGAGACAGAAGAGATGCTGAGCAAGAAACAAGAGTACCTGGAAAATCGAATCCAGAGAGAGCTCAGCCTGGCCAAGAAGCACGGCACGAAGAATAAAAGAGGTAGGCTCGGGGTCTGGCCCCAGGCGTGAACTCTCCCCCTCCTACCTCCAGCCGTTTCCTTGGGGACGGTCCGGTCTGCCCCACAGCACCTGTCCCCCAGGCCACCAGATGTGCTCCCATGGCCTTTCTAGAAACTGGTAATGACCCCCCAGGGGCCTGGAGTTAGAGAGAGCTGAGCAAAGCACAATCCTAAAGGGCAAAATGTAAGGAGGCATCACATATCTCAGGAATCAAGATGAACAATATTTTTACGCAATATTTTAAAAACTCAAAGTTGATACAAAAGCATCCATAATGAACAAAATATCAATATTTACAAGAAAAACAGTATTGGTATTATTGATTCTTTTCTGTTGCAGCTGGCCCTTATGTGTTCCGCACAGTCCTTCTTTATTTCAAATTCGTTCTGAAATGTGATGTTTTGTTCATCGTGGATTTTTTTTGCATTAATTTTGAATTTCACAAATATTGCATTGAAATATTATTTATCTTGATTATTGCTTTTTTGGGTGCCCCCTTAAATTTTGCTCCTGGCTTGTCTCACCCTGGTCCAGTCCTGCTGACTTCAATGCTAAATATCAACTTTTCTGCCGTGTGTTTGTATTTTGAATTGCACATTTTAACTTGCTTGTAAATCTCCATTGAAGTACATTCTAGTATGTTCTGGTTTCCCTTTTCCTCAGCTGTTGAAGACTTTAGTTGGCTGCTGTGCAGTTGAGCTATTATACCAAAAAAGTAATGTCGGAGAATTAAATATTAATTCTATCACTGGCTTTTGCCACGCGGAAAGGACTTTAAGTCAGTAATGATTCTTGGTGATCCTTTTGCACCTTGAACCCTTTGTTCTTTGCCAGAGTTAATCGGTTTCTTCAGTGTATGGCTCTCTCTATAGAGAATAGATCTAAACAGCACCCGTGGCACATATAAAAACCCAGCAAGAAGTTGAAGTGATTTGCTTTTGTAACACAAGTTCAGTGACAGACCCAGAAACAGAAGTGGCAATTTAGGACTCTGCTCACCACCAAACCCTGAACTTGTATCCTCAAGTTGGGCCTCTTGAGTCGTAATGAAGCCTTGGGAAGATTTAGTTTGCCCTAAATGACCCTGCCATTGTTTAACACAGGAAAGGAATCGTGTCTCCTGGAGTAGACCTTGAAAATTCTGCTCTTTCCAAAAAAATGACATTTGTGCCCATTTACTACCAACAACAAAAAGGCCAAGTTTCATTTTCCTCTGCTCTTGCATGTAACTCTTGTCCACATTATAGGCTATTTTAGAGTTAAGTGCTAGTTTCTATTTTTACTTCGTGTCTGAAATATTTTGGGATGTTATTAAATGGCAATTTCTACAGAGACTATGCCAATATGACTTGCTAAAAAGCCATTTGTTGTTCTGTTCCTGGGCCTTTCCTCTTCAGTTTGATGAGTACTCTGCCATTTGCTTAGAGTACCCATCAAGGTACTCTGTCAAAGGTTTTCTTTTGTTTTTTTTTTTGATTTGTTATCCACTTGGATCTGTATGTAGCTTTATCTACAGTGGTTGCTCAGTAAATACTGGCTTAAAAAAATCTGAAAAATGAAACGTCTGCTTCTATGAAGTGGTAGAAATATAGATTTGCTTTCAGAAGAAAAGAATGTAAAATAATATAACGTTCTTGAGTTGGCAACGCACTAAATAAAGTGTCTACAAGTAGACTTTATAAAGACACCAAAAAAAAAAATAAAGGCAACACTAATCAGGAACATCAATCTAACTTCCTTAAATCAGACTAGCTAGAGATGTATCAAGTGCAAATAATCAGTTGGTTTCAGAAAAGCTATTTATTTTTCATCATTTATCCATGGGAACTTCATTGGAGTTGGCCCAAGCCTGATTCTACAGTGGCGCTGGAAGTAGGAAGAGTCTGGTTAGCATGAGGCCATCTGTAATCTAAACTATGGAAAGAATCCAATCACAGGCCATGCGTTCGAAACACTGTCAATATCAACATTTTCCAAATAAACCAAATAACTTCATATGCATATGGTTACTGTTTTCCGTTAGCCCCCAAGAAATATTTTCACACACATAATAAGGCCAAATATACTTAGTACTAAATGGGTCTTGTGCTACACAATGTCCGTGTCAGAATGGCCGTAATTTACCTGTTAATCAGAGCGACATATGTATGTGCAGTTAAAGTTTTACTTCTAGAGGTGGTTAGTCAGCTAACATGCTGTCAAGAATACTAGTTGAGTGGCCAGCTAGTATCACATCAGAAAGGGCCATACTCCCAGCCAGTACAAATTCTCCCATGATCTAGCTCTCTACAACAGAAGTTTTGACAGCATTCTCAATGTCAAAAATGGATTTTATTGGTAGAATGAATAACTCTTAAATTAGCATCATAAATGTTAGAAATGGGATCTCCCTGGTGAAATTGTGGGTATTCTAAACATGCGGTTTGGCTGAGATAGTTTAGAGATAGTTCCTCGCTCCCCACGTAAGAACAGGCGTTAAGAATGTGCTAGGTGTATAACCAACAACGTTAGGATGGTACCCGGGGCTTGATCAAATCAGTGTAGTGTCCAGTTCTTGGTTCAGGTGGATGTCTGAACTCCCACAGAGCACAGCACCCTGCCAGGGAAGGTCGCTGTCTGTGTTCAGTGAGCCTTTCGTATAAGGTGTGTTAGACTAAAAGGACATAGAGCTGGGACTTCACTGAGCTCAGAAACAGGTTGAGAAACTGTTTTTTGCCTGCTTGGCCAATGTATGTTTGTTTAATAAGTGTATCTGCAGATCTGAGTCTGAAACTTGCTTTCATTGCAACTTGTAGCAAGGCTGTGCAGTGGTAGCTAATTCTTACTTCAAACCTATTTGGCAGTTACCATAATCTACCAAAAAGAGCCTGAGTGGGCACCACCAAACTGGTTTTGCAACAGCCATGATATCAAGGCTCTGTTGATCTAAAAGAGGAACAATTGAAGCAAGATCTATAATTTGGTTAAAAACTTGAGAAGAGCAGACATTCTTTAGTGCAGTTTATTCAGAATACTATGATAGAACTCCTGCTTTATATAAGCTAGTAATCTGCTTTGTGGAAAAGCAAATTTTTTTATACGTCACTTAATTTTTTTCCTATTTTTGCTGAGCACTGTCATCTAGAGCAGTTTTCAGTCCTGGCTGTATATGAAAGTCACCTTGATGCCTGCGGGATCCTGCCCTCATAGATTCTAATCTAATTGGCTGGGGTGGGGTTTGGGCATCAATATTTTTTAAAGGTGCCCCCAGGTGATTTTGCCCTGTAGCCAGGGTCAAGGATGAGAAAACTAAATCCATGGTAATGTTAGTGGGATAGAAATACAAGGTCTCTTAGTCTTGAAGTGCTTCCTAACTCTTTTCATATCATGGCACCCATGGGCACCGATAATGTTTGTATGTGTCACTGGGATAACCAAGGACCAGCAGCTCGAGGACTCTGGGCACCCCAGGCTGGAGGCCTCAGGAGCAAAAGGCATCAACATTTTATTACATTGCAACTCCCTCCTGCCACACAAGTTGGTGGAACACCTTAGAGGTCACTGTTCTAACCTCCCTTATGAGTTTTTTTTTTTTTTCTTAATAAAATCATTAAGAGATGGTCACAGGGATTTGCTTAAGTGTAATATCCCTACGTCAATGTGTAAATATCTGATAGAAAGTAACTTAGTGTTGTAGTCAAGAGCCTGAGCTTCAAAGCAGATAGCCCTGGGTTTGATTCCTGGCCCTGTCCTGCCACTTAGAAACGGTGTGACTTTAGACCATTTACTTGGCCTGAGTCTCAGTCTCTTCATCTGCATAATGGTGGTGATAAAGTTGATCCTCAAAGGTTTGATGATTAACGACATTACTGTGTAAAGCCCTCCATTCAGCACTTTATATATATCACCCTTTGTGATAACATAGCTTTTTTTTTTTTTTTTTTAAAGCTGACATCAGTTTCCTAGTAGGATCCACATACTGGCTCAAATTTGTCTTCTGGAATAACACGGAATAAATCTACTCCATCTGTCATGTGAAGACCTTTCACATAGTTGAGGACAGCAGTCACTTGCCTGAGTCTCCTGTCTGCAACCCCACCTCTGTCACTTCCTCAGTTACCCCTTCCCGTGCTGAGCTTTGCTCACCAGGGCAGGTCAGTCAGAGAGTGAGCGCCCCTTGACATCTTCCCCCTCGGTACCACTCTAGTCTCTCCCCTCACTCTTGTGGTGGCCCTTTTGCTTACCTTTTCCCAGGCAGAACAAGAAATCCAAATATGTAACTATGTGAAAAGGGGTGGATCCAGGCTGGAGTTATCACTAGGCCTCAGGCTGTTGGGAAGTGGACTTACAGAGGTAAGAGGTTGAGACAGAGAGGAAGTGAATTTGACCAAAATCCCTCCTCAGTTTCATTTCACAGGATTCCCATGACAACTCGGAGCTGAGGTCATTCAACGTCTTTGCCAGGTGTCTGTTTGGTGAAATGAGACCTCAAGGCAGAGAGTCTTGTGTGCATAGCTGGCTCACTTTGAGCCCTGAGGTGTTTGGGGGCAAGGATGAATTTGTTTTCAGAGTCATGATGCAGTTTGGGGCTTCCTTGGAGTCAGGATGTGGGCACAGTCCCACTAGCTTAGCTCAATGCTGGAATCTCTTTGGGCTTTTTATGATAGTTGTCACAGAGCTGAAGTCTGCAATCTCAGACACCGGGGACCAGAAGAACTTGGTAAAGAGAACCACATCGGTATCAGCTGGTTGAGTGCCAAATTAGTGAGGGCAAAAGCATGGCTCAGGTAATAGGAGACAGGCACAGACTGCAGGACCCAGATGGAAGTTCCCCTGGGAGATATCACTTACCTGGCGACCTCTTTTCCTAATAGCATTTCTCAAAATGTGGGCCTCAGATCAGCTGCATCAGAAGCCCTGGAGGATGCTGCTTAAAATGTACACTCAGAAGGATGCCCCTAATAATTATAATTTAGGGTTGAGTGTAGAGTTCAGAAACCT